TGGGAGTATATTTATAGGGATAGGAGGTGGCTAGGGTTTTTAGGTTTAATTAGCCAATTTATTTGGCTATTAAACATAAAATGAATGTTTTGGTGGTTTTTTGTATAATTGGCTAATAAAAAGGAAGAAATGGTGGGAAAAGGTAGAAAAAAGGTAATGGATTAGGTTTTTCAATGGGATAGCCGTCCCTCTTGTGTTTTTAGGTTTGAGTGGATGTTTCAAATTGACAATTAAGGGATTGATTAGGTAATTAATCCCTTAATTAGTCAATTATTATGATTTTATGAAATATGAAAGGAATAAGTATATTATTTAGCTAATTGATTAGCTAAATAATGAAATGGGAAATATATGAATAAATTAGGTTTTAAGTTGATACCTATTTTGGGCACTTTTGACTTGGTTGAAAAAATGATTCTCTACTGCTCGCGTGTAGGAAACCCGGTATGCCTCGAGGGTATTTTTGTCCTCTTTTGTCCAAAAGTCCACGTGTCGCCTAGTGAATATTTTTGGCTCCACAAATATGTATCACATCCCAATCTGCTTTCTTTATTTGTATTTCACCTTTTTCATATGCCTTTATGAGCAAATAGTGAGGCATATAAGAACATTAACACTTCTGGATTTTTCTAAAAGTTTGTCTTGAGTTCTTGTAGTCTTACTACAAAAGCCATGAGATTCACTTTCATCTGAGCATAGTTTTCATCAGATGTCCAAAGCTTTTTAGTAAGAGTAGGATTTGGAGATGTTTTCTGTTTTGTTGCCTAATGTTTCTCTTTTGACGACATCTTCATAAAAATAAAACAATAATTAGTAATTTTTGAATTAATGAAGCTGAAATTCCATCAATGAACTAAAGAATTTAAACTGATTATTTGAACAAATAATATGAAACTTGTTGATGCACAAAATCAGTGAGGACTTTGGTACAACAGAAAATGTTAAGTTTTTGACCTTCGCTAGATTGCTCCGGTCACTAGTATGGATAAGTATGAAAATGGATAGAGACAGGGAAGCAAACACAAGATGTACGTGGTTCACCCAGATTGGCTACGTCCACGGAGTAGAGGAGTTCTCATTAATTTTGAAGGGTTTACACAAGTACATAGGTTCAAGCTCTCCTTTAGTGAGTACTAGTGAATGATTTAGTACAAATGACATTAGGAAATATTGTGGGAGAATGATCTCCTTTTATAGAAGAGAGTTTCTAGCTTTGTTCTGACATTGACGCGTGTCGTGTTGTGATTGACTTCTGATGTTGACCGTGTCGCGCTATGATTGGCTTCTGATGTCGACACTGTCACACTGTGATTGACCTCCTGGTTTGAGGGAAATTCTTCTGGGTCCTTGACGGTATAACGTTGACCGGTACTCAATAGTTTCGGGATTGATCAAGTATGGTACAAACAAAACTGATCATGTGTATCACAAACTGATTATCCAAAAGGTAGATATAGAATCAGTTTACACACAAAAGGTAGATGAAGAATCACTTTATGCACAAAAAGGTAGATGCATTATCAGTTTACACACAAAAGGTAGATGCATAATCACTTTACACACAAAAGGTAGATGCATGTAGTGGCGAAGCTAGGAATTGTCGAGAGTGGGGAGGGGCGAATTTAAAAGAGTGCAGGGTTCAAAAAATTGCAACAACAAAATCCTTTTATAATTAGGTGGATAATTAAGCATCTGACATCTAGATCCAAGTCTGCAGGATGATTAGCCAATATTTCATTCAACTCAGTGACTACACTTTGTTGGGAACTACTACTTGAAATACTTACATGGAATATTCAAGGGAGGACTACTCAGAATATTCGAAGGAGGACTATTTGGAATATTTGAAGGAGGATTTCAGCAGTATCGTTCCATTACGTAACTGTATAATGTGGGTAAAAAAAACAAAATACCGTAGGCTCTTAATTCTAGAGTAGAATATACTATGTGACTAATTTCATTCAATTCAATTATATCAATAAACAAAAATTCAATTCAATTAATCAATATCAATAATCAATTAATCAATAATCAAAAATTCAGTTTTTACCTAAATAATTTCATTCATTAATAATTGTAGGATTCATATCGGTAATCAATATTAAATAACCATATTAATTAATTACTCTATGATTCTATATCAATTAAACAAAATTTAATATTAAATAATCAATTAGGGTTGGCTAATATAAATTTGGAAATTAAAAGAGAAAAGAGACCAAGGATGATGGTTTTGAAGTCTGGAAGTAAGGGAAAGGAGAGAGTGGGCCCACATATTGTTGTTGCGTGCTGGTTGGTTATGAAAAAAGTGGGAAGGAAGGCACGAGATTCACCGGTTCAGAGTGAAGGCAACGAGGGACTAGCGGTTCTATTTAATTCTTTGAGTAAACTGTGAGTTTACGCCCTAAACTTTCACCTCACTTTCGATTTCCCCCCTGAACTTTTCTATTGGAAAATTAAGGACTCGAACTAATTTTTTTAGCCAATTTGCCCCCTACCGTTAGTTTTTCATATATTCCATCCATATTTCGGTTAAGTGAGACCATGTACACAACATGTGAGGGTAGTTAAATTATTTCACTCTTAAAAATGATTAAAAAACTGAAAAATAAAAAATAAAAACAAAACTTTCCCTCTATTTTTTCCCGCTAATTCCTATCCTCGATTTTATTTTTCCCTCTCATTCCTATGCATGAGAAATGACATATGGTGTTATTGTCTACCATTTTTATTTTCTCTAACAAATTAATAATTTGACAAATGCTAATGGTGCTATTGTCTCCAAAGCAGTGCATTAATATAAGAAACCCTAGTCTTTTTTATGGACATGTTTCTTATATTAATGAACTGCTTTGGAGACAATAGCACCATGAGCATTTGTCAAATTATTAATTTGTTAGAGAAAATAAAAATGGTAGTACATGCTTCAAGAAAAAGATTAACTTAGCTACTTATGAAGACAATAACACCATATGTTATTTCTCATGCATAGGAATGAGAGGGAAAAATAAAATTGAGGATAGGAATTAGCGGGAAAAAATAGAGGGAAAGTTTTTTTTTTTTTTTTATTTTCAGTTTTTTAATCATTTTTAAGAGTGAAATAATTTAACTACCCTCACATGTTGTGCACATGGTCTCACTTAACGGAAATATGGAAGAAATATATGAAAAACTAACGGTAGGGGGCAAATTGGCTAAAAAAATTAGTTTGAGTCCTTAATTTTCCAATAGAAAAGTTCATGGGGGAAATCGAAAGTGAGGTGAAAGTTCAGGGGGTAAACCGACAGTTTACCCTAATTCTTTTTTAATCCAATAACCAAACGACATCGTCCCACTAAGGGAATATTTTAATTTTTTTTTACCAGAACCAAACAATGTCATTTGGCCTAATTGGATAAATGGTTCCCGTGGTCATAAGGTATTCGGATGATAGCCCCTGTGGTAAAAAAATTCGGATTTAAACCCCTGTGGTCTAAGTCTGTTAGGATTTAAACCCCTGTGGTCTAAATCTGTTAGGATTTAAACATTTCTGTTAAATAATGCTGATGTGGCTGCCACGTGGCTGCCAAATGGCTGCCACGTGGCAAAATAATAATTTTTAATTTTTTTTAAAAAAAAACCTGAATTAAAAAAAAAAAAAAAAAAAAAAAAAAAAAAAACAAACAAACCGGATCTGCAAGAAGAAGAAGGAAGAGGGAGAGGGAGGAGGGCGCGAGGAGACGGCTCCGGCGAGGGGGGAGCTAGTCTCCGGCGGAAGAAGAAGAAGAAGAAGAAGAAGAGAAGAACAAGAAGAAGAAGAAGAAAAAGAAGAAGAAGAAGAAGAAGAAGTCGCGCAGGGAGACCGGCGGGAAGAAGAGAAGAAGGAAGAAGGAGAGGGAGGAGGGTCGCGCGGGGAGAGGGCTCCGTTGGGGGGGGGGAGCTGGTCTCCGGCGGGAAGAAGAAGAAGAAGAAGGAGAAGAAGTCCGGCGGGGTGGGGGAACGGGCGGAGGGCGGAGGGCGGAGGGCGGGGGGGATTTTCTGGGTTTCTGCGTTTTTTTTTTTTTTTTTTTTTTTTTTTTTTTTTTTAATTCAGGTATTTTTTAAAAAATTATTATTTTTGCCACGTGGCATATATGTGGCAACCACGTCAGCATTATTTAACCGAAGGGCATAAATCCTAACAGACTTAGACCACAGGGGTTTAAATCCGAATTTTTTTACCACAGGGGCTATCATCCGAATACCTGTTGACCACGGGGACCATTTATCCGATTAGGCCATGTCATTTTAGCCTGGTTTAAAAAAAAAAAAAATAAAACTCTGTGCAACTCTGCCACCCAGCAGCAAACCTAGAAAAACACATACGGAATTAGGCCACTTCTGACGAGACTAGAAGGGTGTAACCACCGCTCCTGGCTTGATTTCTGGCATGGGGAGGGGCAACTACCCCTCCTCCTCCTTGCGCATATGTAGATTAGCCCATGGATGCATGATCAGTTTACACACTAATGTAGATGTAGAATCATTTTACACACAAAAGGTAGATGTATAATCACTTTACACACAAAATGTAGATGTAGAATCACTTTACACCAAAAGGTAGATGCATAATATGTTTACACACAAAAGGTAGATGCAAAATCAGTTTACGCATAAACTAAAAAAAGTGAAACTGATCATGCAAACCCTGAAAGATATATTCAGAATCACTTTACACATAAAAGGTAGATGCATAATCAATTTACACACAAAGGTCGTTGAAGAATTAATTGTCCACACAAAGGTAGATGCATAGTCAATTTATTCATAAACTAAAAAACGTGAAACTGAGCATGCCAAACACTAAAACTGATTTTTACGAAACTGATAATTCATGCGAAACCCTTTTTTTATCACAAAATCTGAACGTGGTCTTTGCAAAAAATAAACTAAAAATCTGAACAAGATCATGCAAAAACAAGTTTTTGAGTGGTAGTTACTGTGTTTTTGTAGAAATGTCACCTTTTGGGGTTTTTATGTAACTAAATTTGTGAAAATTTGCCTAATCTATGTCTATTACTTTAGTCTAAAGAAGGTGTTTCAATTGCATTGTACAAATGAATAGTATTTGGATCAAAATTTCACTTTATTTACAAGGCTGCCACTAACTTTCTCTGCCGCTGATGTTCATGCCACGTGTTGATGATCGTGGAAAGGCAGACAGAGCCACAAGGGGTGTACGATTCGAGGGAGAGGGAGAAGGAAACAGCGCGAAAGGAAGAGTGGGGGAGGGAGGAATAAGGATCGGCGAGACCCCAGAGCCACCAACGCCTCCATTTTCCGGCGAAACATCACCACAGAACCACCACCACTCACTCCATTCTACTCAGGACACACAGGCGAAGGCCTTTCACTGTGCAATGGCTCCTGCCACTGTTCATCAGCTTCTCTTACGAGACTCACCGCTCCTGACCTTGGTAAACCACCCTTACACTCTTCCTTTCTGTTTTCAATTTGGGACTTGAATTCAAGCTTGCACGTATTTTAGTTTTTCATACTTCTTTCGTCCAATCATCATCACCCTCTCTGTCTCTCTCTAAACAATTTCCAATTGGTTTTTAGAGAGAGAAGGTGGCAGCAGCAGCAGTGGGAAAGAAGAAGGTCTTTTACTGCCTCTGTGATTGTCCCTGCCCTTCGAATCACTAGGGTTTGGCTTTGGCTCCGTTAGCTGTTGAGGTAATTATTAATCCATACTTCGATTGTACTTTTTTTTTTCCGTATTCAGTAAGTTTGATCAAATGGGTTTCTTTGGACTTGCATAAGTTGTGTATAATATTACTTCAATCATTTATTGGGTTCCTTTTGTATTATTGAGTCTTGGGTTTTGCTGGAAATTGTATAAATTTTGGCCAAATTGCATAAATTATTGAGCTTTTTTCTGGTATTTTTATGGCTACTGTGCTAATTAGTTCATACCCAAAAAGGAGCAGATAATTAACTGTTCTAATCACTAATTCCCCACTCTGAGAACTTGATACCTTGGACTGATATGCATTTATGAGATTTGTTAAACTTTTAGTGTAATTATAAAGTATGGGTCTTTGATTCCATATAAATTGCTGTTTATATTTGTGAATTCAAGAGGGGAGCATTTACATGTGGAGGCAACAAGGAGGGGTGGCTTTGAGATGGTTGGGCTATCTATTTTATCTGTAGTTCTTCATTTCACTAAATTAAATATGAATTATTAATTTTTCAATTTTTAAAATGAAAGATAAAAGAAAATCATATGTACTTAATTATATATATATATATATATGTGTGTGTGTGTGTGTGCGCGCGCGCGTGCGTGCGCGTGCGTGCGTGTGTAGATAGTTGCAGAGAAGAGGAAACACTACTCAACCCTTCTTTGCCATTACGAGCAGGTTCCTTCTCTCTCTCTGTATTTCTTTGGTACTTACGTACATTAGTTCTAATGAATGTCTTTTCATTAGGCTGATGCTGATGGCAACGGAACCATAGACTATGATGAGTTCATCGCAGCAACAATGCACTTGAACTGGATGGATAGAGAACATCTCTACACTACCTTCCAACACTTCGATAAAGACAGCAGCGGGTATGCGGAGATCATGATAGGCATGTGCTTTTTTATTTTATTTTATTTATTTTTTATCTTTTACATAATGCTCTTAAATTCCAAGTACATAACACGCATTTTTGGTTGCTCTTGTACTGTTCTTTTCACTGTGGCTCTGTTTCAGGTATATAGTTTGGGGTTCTTCTTTTTTCCCCTTATTTTTTTTTCACATTTTCTGTTATTGGATGAACCTTTTTATTAAATTTGGTTTTTCTGTTTGTCGTCAACTGGCAGTGAAACCCCATCAGTGTAACTGGATAGAATAATTTATAACCCATAGTGGGTTAGAGCATTGCCGCACACCAAGCAAAGATGTCTCGATATGATTTGTTAGTTAGTTTTGATCACAAAATTTTGATTTCTTTGCTTTGTTTGGAAATTTGTGCGTTTATCTTTGGTCAACTGTAGGGGATGATGTGAAAATTGATGTTTTGAGACTTACCTTTTGATCAAGGCTTTGGTATGTCCTGAACTTCGATACGTTATTTCCCCATGCTTTCCGTTTCAGACAGTGCGATTTTAGAATATTTTAACATGTGAGATTAACCTTTGTTGCCTCTCGCTTCGTATGTTCGTTCGCGGTGCTATAATCTGCCTTCCCCCGCCCTTTCATTCGTGAAATGTTTGAATGTAGTCATCTTTTATTTAGCTTTAATTTCGTTTGATTAGATTGGATTTAGACTATGTCTATGCTTTGAAGCCCTGACATTTCCAGGCTATGATTTGGTTTAAGCTTTTCTGCTTGGCTTTGCTTCTGTGCATAAAGAAATTTAAGTGTTTTTCTCAATTTGTTTTGTTCTGTGCATTTCAATTTAATTGCTTTTCTCAATTTTTTTTGTAATTTGTTTTTCTCAGTTTCGGTTATTTGAATACCTAAATTATGTTCTGTTTTCTATCATGTAAATTCAAAGAATGGCTCTTTCTCCAGCAATCATTTGAACCTAAATGATTAAAAACAGTTCACATTTGGTTCCATTTCTAGGCTGTCATTTGGGTTAAGGTTTTCAAATTTGCTTTGCCTCTGTGCATTTCAATTTCAATGTTTTTGTCAATTTGCATTTTTATTTGCATATTCCATCAAAGATACATATTTTTTTGCCAGCCAAAAATATAAAATGTCAATTTATTGGAGGTGCTTTTCATTTTGTGATTTAGTTTAATGCCAAGATTTGTTAACCCAATTGCCATTTTACTTCATTTATGCTTCTGTTACTTTAAAGCTTCATGTTTCTTTAAACTTCATGTTTTACAACAATCTGGGGCACATATGAAACCGTGGCAAACTAGCCATTTGGTCATTGAAACAATTGAATGAAAGAAAAAAATTATGGCAAAAGTGGTTGTTTGGGAATGATTGGACATAATTTTGTTCTTTCATTTAATTGTTTGAATTACCAAATGCCAAGTTTAGCAAGGTTTCATCTGTGTCCTGGATTCTTATCAGCCAATTATCCATCTTAATGAATCTGGATTCTGGATTCATATGGCTGTTGATTTGAAATTGCTTTGCACTGTGAGCAGGCTGCAAGTGGTTAATTGGTTAATTGTTTTCACTGTTTTTACTCAACTTTTCCTGATTGTTCAAATGAGTTTTAATCACCTAAATCATGTTATGTTTTTAAATAGGGAAGTTAGTGGGATCTATTTTGATAAGTCCCTTTATCCCTCAATGTGAAGCCCACAAACCAATTTGTCTCTATGTGACTGATGAATGAAATCATTAGTTTTATGGTCATTACTCTTTTTTACACCTTCTCAATGCACTTATGTTTTTAATAATGGATATTTTTTGTTGGCAATGATCTGATTGTGTTAGGATTATATTTGTGAGCTTATATTTTAGTCTTTGCGATGATCTGGTTACATAGGATGTTGGTGTTGACCATTCTCTTAGTCTGGTCTTTAGAAAAAACAAAAACCACAACAAGACTATGCACTACTGAAGTTTAAAAGGTGGGTATTTTTTCTTTGGCATGCCATTGTCTTTATTTAATCATTCTTTCACTTAAGCTCTAATGGACAATTGAAATAAAATGAACACAAATTTGGACAAGTAGTTCTGATCCTTCTCCAAACTGTTAGTATAAGGATGGTTAGATTAGGAATTTTTATTAGCTTTTAGTGATTGGCATCTAAATACAGGTTTTGTGTGGCATATCTTGCTCTTTAGCTATAAATTACTTGGTTAACACATGGTGTTGGGTGATTTAACAATGCACACACTTATAAATCCCTTTTAATACCATGTTAGGATGCCAACATCCAACTCAAAAACAGTAACAATGCTAAGTTGAGAGTTGATCGTTTAAACTTATTTGCAAGCCTTTTTTCTTTACATATTTGTAGTTCATGCTTTTAGCAGTTACCAATGTATTTAGCAGTTTTTTAAAATGAAGTAAATCTCCATGTTTGAAATCTCACACTGGCCCTTTGACTTTTGAGGTATATTAATTAGCACTGGTTTCATGGCTATTCTTACATGTTTTTTTTTGCACATTGGGATTAAATCTAGCTATCTAATTATAACGTCCTTTTAATATATACGCCATAATAACACTAGAATGTGTGATTGTTACATCTTAAGTTGGTGTGCTTGAAAAAATCTTCATACCATCAAAACTACACTAAAACATAATTCTAAATAAAAGAAAGTTAAACAAGAATAGCGTAGATAAACATGGTGTGAGAGTACCGATTCCAAAACACATTTTAACAGCTTTATCCAGCTGATAATTCAGAACATTATCAAGCACTTAAGGTAAATGTAACTATTAACGATTTTTTGCGTTTTTTTGTTTTACCTGGATTCCCATTCTGTGAAAGGCATGTGTGTCTGTGTTTGTGCGCGGTTGTCTAACTAGATGATTTTGGTTTGCCTTCTCTGATCAGAGCTCTTAACCTTCTCAGGGGTTTCGCTACCAGAGGTTACACGGCTATGCAGAGGGTTACATGGTGGAACTTGGATGTTATAGCTCACAGCAAGCAGGGTTGTTAGGTATGTTTCATAGCATCTACCATTTTATAACTTAGCTTACCAATGGGTTATTTTGAATCATGTGGTTTCTTTTCTCATGTCAAATTACCGTAATTTTTTTTTCTCTCATTGTATCTAGAAGTTATTTCAATTGCAGTGGCACCCTTAAAAATTGTGCTCTACAGTTGTGTAACTGGTTTAAGTGTGTTTTTTTTTTAAGTTTGAAAGTTTTAGATGGGAACAGCCAAAGGCATCTAGACGTTTGATCTGCCTATTCTAAAATTTTGAACTCCTTCTTTAATTGGTCTTTGTTATTTTTGTTTTTGGGGGTATCTAATACGCTAAGGTTACCAATTTTTTTGGGAGTATCATTGTTATTTCAATTTAATTGTTTTTCTCAATTTTTTTTTCTAATTTTTTTCTTCTCAGTTTCAGTTTTTGGATCCCTAAATTATGTTCTGTTTTTTATCATGTAAATTCAAAGAATGGCCCTTTCTCCAGCCAATCATTTGAACCTAAATGATTAAAAACAGTTCCATTTCTAGGCTGTCATTTGGTTTAAGGTTTTCTAATTTGCTTTGCTTTTGTGCATTTCAATTTCAATGTTTTTGTCAAATTGCATTTTTATTTACATATTCCAGCAAAGATACAAATTTTTTTGCCAGCCAAAAATATAAAATGTCAATTTATTGGAGGTGCTTTTCATTTTGTGATTTAGTTTAATTTCAAGATTTGTTAACCCAATTGCCATTTTACGTTTAAGTTCAGTTTATTCCAAGGTTTTTCATTTATGCTTCTGTTACTTTAAAGCTTCATGTTTCTTTAAACTTCATGCTTTACAAGAATCTAGGGCACATATGAAACCTTGGCAGACTAGCCATTTGGTCATTCAACCAATTGAATGAAAGAAAAAAATTATGGCAAAAGTGGTTGTTTGGGAATGATTGGACATAATTTTGTTCTTTCGTTTAATTGTTTGAATTACCAAATGCCAAGTTTAGCAAGGTTTCATCTGTGCCCTGGATTCTTATCAGCCAATCATCCATCCTAATGAATCTGGATTCTGGATTCATATGGCTGTTAATTTGAATTTACTTTTCACTGTAAGCGGGGTGCAAGTGGTTAATTAGTTAATTGTTTTCACTCAAGTTTTGCTGATTGTCCAAATGAGTTTTAATCATCTAAATCATGTTATGTTTTTATATAGGGAGGTTAGTGGGATCTATTTTGATAAGTCCCTTTATCCCTCAATGTGAAGCCCACAAACCAATTTGTCTCTATGTGACTGATGAATGACATCATTAGTTTTATGGTCATTACTCTTTTTTACACCTTCTCAATGCACTTATGTTTTTAATAATGGATATTTTTTGTTGGCAATGATCTGATCGTGTTAGGATTATATTTGTGAGCTTATATTTTAGTCTTCGCGATTATCTGAACACATAGAACGTTGGTGTTGACCATTCTCTTAGTCTGGTTTTTAGAAAAAAAAACAAAAACCACAACAAGACTATGCATTACTGAAGTTTAAAAGGCGGGTATTTTTTCTTTGGCTTGCCATTGTCTTTATTTAATCATTCTTCTTAAGCTCTGATGGACAATTGAAATAAAATGAACACAAATTTGGACAAGAAGTTTTGATCCTTCTCCAAACTGTTAGTATAGGGATGGTTAGATTAGGAATTTTTATTAGCTTTTAGTGATTGGCATCTAAATACAGGTTTTGTGTGGCATATCTTGCTCTTTAGCTATAAATTACTTGGTTAACACATGGTGTTGGGTGATTTAACAATGCACACACTTATAAATCCCTTTTAATACCATGTCAGGAAGCCAACATCCAACTCAAAAACAGTAACAATGCTAACTTGAGAGTTGATAGTTTAAACTTATGTGGAAGCCTTTTTTCTTTACAGATTTGTAGTTCATGCTTTTAACAGTTCCCAATGTATTTAGCAGTTTTTTAAAATGAAGTAAATCTCCATGTTTGAAATCTCACACTGGCCCTTTGACTTTTGAGGTATATTAATTAACACTGGTTTCATGGCTGTTCTTTTATGTTTTTTTTTTTGCACATTGGGATTAAATCTAGCTATCTACTTATAACATCCTTTTAATATATACGACCACAATAACACTAGAATGTGTGATTGTTACGTCTTAAGTTGGTGTGCTGTCAGAAATCTTCATGCCATCAAAAGTACACTGAAACATAATTTTGAATAAAAGGAAGTTAAAAAAATAATAGCGTAGATAAACATGTTGTGAGAAGACTGATTCCAAAACACATTTTAACAGCTTTATCCAGCTGACAATTCAGAACATTATCAAGTATAAATGACTGGTCATCAGTTAAACCCTTTTGTTGCACTTTCACATATTTACTCCATTCCACCATCACAGTTTTTGTTACATTTACAGTTTCCCCATGCATTATGGAATACGTTTTCCATCTTAATAATATCTATTATTTGTGATGTAGATTCATGGTTTTCAGGTCTTTTACAATTTTAGTGGTTGTGCTTAAGGGTAGATGATGATGTAGGATGGAGATAGTTTTTAGAGAATGTTGGAGTTACATTTGTTGGAGTACATTCCAGTAGTTTTTTGTCCCTGTGAGGTATTTGGTATTCCTCATAGTTTCGTTCTTGACCATATTCCTTCTCGAATCTTCATCAATATAATGTTTCCTTGAGCATCTTCTTTAAACGTGTCTTTTATATTTGATCCAATTGTGACTTTCCCTACTTTTGTGTGCATGTATTGGTTTGAATTTATGTGCATTTTATTTGAAATGATTCGAATTGAATATTTGTAACAGGAAGAAGTGATTTTTCTAACTGTGATAATTGTGCCTCATGTTTTGTTTAAGACTTTGATATTCTAATTTCTTCTTGATAATACATCATTTTTGTCAGCGTATACAGGTACTTATAATTCATCATTGTTTAACGATCACATGCTTTACTAAATGTGAAAATAGTGACCATTGAAAGCTTTGACCCCTTAACAAGCCTATGAAATTAAAAGTATTTCATTGTGGTTAATTACTGATAAAAGTTTAAATTGGGAAAAGAATATGCAAGTGGATTACTGATTTATGATGAATATGATTTTCAATTTGTTGGTGCTACAACAAAAACATGTCCTTAACTTTGAGAGGAATCCTCCTTTGTGACTTTGGTTACCGATTTATGATGAATATGATTTTCTCACTTTATTATTAGGACAATGTTAATTTCACCTGATTACTTCACATTTTCCAGGTCAATCTTTGATTTTGTGTTTCTGGAAGCTGTTGTCATCTCCAAAATCCTTATTCTGGTATGTAGATAGCTGCTGAGTGCTGCAGCTCGCTTAGTTTGGCCATATGCCTTCATTGTAGCATGCTCTCTGTGACAAGTAAGCATTATAATTCCACTTAGTGGATTGATATTAAGTTGGCTCATGGAATAATATAAGGTCATGTCATGTTTGAACATTTCTACATTCTTTTTAGCTATGATTACTGTTTATACCATATTTAGGGCCTCGTATTTAGATATCGTACAAATACTCAGGGGACTTAAATGTAATTATGTGATAAAGGAAAGGACAAATATGTAATAAGTGAGGAGCCCTTATTCTATAAAAGGACTCATTACCCTCACAATTCGAGGAGGCCAATTTCTTAGGCCATGGAAGGGCTCTCTCACCCTCAGAAGCTCTCCCCATCTCTCTCCCTCACAAACAGAGAAATATATAATTAGTGTGGATGTAGCCTAAACCTTGGGGTGAATCACGATACATCTTGTGTTATTTACATTTCTTGCAAATTCAAAGTTTGATTTACGTTGTTCCAAGACCTCCGGTTTTGTGCATCAACATTTGACGCCGTTTGTGGGAATGACACTTATTCCCATTCTCTTCAGCTTTGCCAAGCTGGTTTCCACCATTCGTACACTCTCTTTTGACCAGGCATCCCTCTCCAACATGGGGAGCGAAGGAAGCCACAACACACATAATGACACCCCTCTTGCACCTAGTGGGAAGCAACGAAAGAAAGAAGGAAAAAGAGTTTCTCTTCAAGCTAAAGCGATGAGTTAGAAGCTCAGAACAACAAGATAGTAATGAAGAATAAGGTCCTTTAGGAGCATTATGAGAAGCTCTTTGAGACGCTCCATGAAACTATGCGTACTTAAACACGGGAGCTCGTTGCCCTTGTGGACATCAACCATCATCTGGGTGCCCCCCAACACGGAGGGTCACCTCCCTTCGACATGAGTATCCCTGATGAGGAACGTGCTAATCATCAAAACATTGATCAACATAAGACTTCTCTCAACCCAGATGATTCGACCCAAAGTAGAAGAAGTGGAGGAAGACACCTCCTTGCAGAAGGGTTGGAATGATCGAAAGCCGTTTATCGTGACTACCGAGACTTCCTAAAGCAACGTCGAGAGAATCCTCTCCACATATGCTCGAAGATTAATGACCCAAAGGTTTCTGAAAGACTCGGTCCCCTCCCACGACCCAGGGCAGCTGCTAATTTAGGGAAGGAACGACAGGTCCCAGAGGAACATGAAGGTACTGGGGACTCTGAGGTATTCCGACAGACTCACCCTAGAAGTTAGTACGGCGAGTCCAAGAAAAAACCACACGTCCTTGCTCAAACTTTCCTATTTCTAAGAGGCGATGGAGACTTACGAAAGAAAATTCCAGTGGTACATGACTCTACTCAGGACCCCCTTGTCCTACAGCTCATTGAGGAAGTAAACAAGTTGAAGGCCGAACGTCAGGCCGAGATACCTGACTGGAACCAACCCAGGCCTGGCCCTCTCACAAGAAGGATCATCGACACCCCCTTCAAGCGAAGACAAAACAAAAGCTTGGTTTACAACTTTATAATGGAAGGAAGGACCCAATTAAACACCTTAACCTCTTTGAGTCCACCATGGCATATCAGATGCACACTGACGAAGAGCGATGTCTTCTTTTCCCCTCCACCCTCTTTGGCAGAGCTCTAAACAGGTATTGCCGTCTTCCACCTGAGACAATAGACTCATTTGAGGAATTGAGGAAACCGTTTGTCTTTCAACACATCTTCTAGACCGATCACGTGCTTTTTGCAGATGACTTGTACACTATTCGCTAGAAGCCGGATGAGTCACTACGAGAGTATGCCGGTTGCTTTAGCCATAAGTATTCTCGCTGCACTGAGGCAGATGACAAGACCGCCCTCAAGGCTTTCACGGCAGGCCTACGTGATTGTTTCTTCAAGTACATGATCAATGCCAACACTTGGAAAACTTACTCTGAGGGGATTGCACAGACTTACAACCACGCTTCCGTCGAAGCAAGGACATACCAAGGGAACCCCCATATGGTTAACCCCTATTAACAAATGGGAAGTCGAAGTCAAGTTCTACTAAGTGAGGAGATATTGGCCATTCAGACACCCATTGCATCATCTCCTGCCTCATTTAGCTACTCGCTAAGTCACCAAACGTATTTGTCTCTTGGTAAGAGGAAGGATTTTTACTCTCAGCAAGCCCATTACAACAAGAGGGATAAAAGTTCGTATCAAGACAACCAGGGGTGAACGTACTGTCGATTATTATGACTATGGGGCCAAGCCTCACTCTTTCAAAGTGGAGGACTAGGTACTGAAGGAAATGCTATTATAAGAAGGTATACACATTACAAATGTTTTGACTCTTAACCGCTTGAGATCTTTTGTCACACAAGCCATTAGGCAAATATTTAAAGAAGAGGGAATTCAGACAACTTCTTATGAGTCTTTTGCGTTCCTAACACTGGAACACTTGGTCTACGCTGACCTACCTTTATACTCCAACTCAGAGCTTTAACATACGTACTTTGACACAAAGTATGTGATACTAAGTGTTACAACCAACATGGTTCACATATCAAAAACATGGATCCCTTCATGCATAGCAAAACATTCATAAGCATCACTCATATCAATCAACATAAACATTATACATTCCAACACATTCATACATAGATATCATACATTCCAACACATTCATACATAAACATCATACATTCCAACACATCCATACATAAGCCAACTGTGCTTCGAAAAGGTTCAACATACTTTGTGTCTTTGACACTTGGTACAATGTGCCTCGACACCTTGCCCTTATTCTCACCAACCAGATGATGAAAGGTGAAGGAGGAACTCATCTTCATGCCACCAACCAGGTGATGAAATGTACAACCCGTACTTTTCTTTATGCCACCAACTAGGTGATGAAATGTACAACCCGTACTCTAATATCATTTGGCAACTAGCCATTCATGCTACCAACCAGGTGATGAAATGTACAACCCGTACTCTCCTTCATGCCATCAACCAAATGATCAAAAGTACGCCCAGTATTCCAAATTATACATGAGCATTACTCATGTCATTCATACATAAACATTCATGAGCATCACTCATGACAATCATACATAAACATTCATGAGCATCACTCATGTCAATCAGCTTCAAAAGCTTCATTTACAGAGCTCTAGCTTCAAATACTCTCAGAGAAATACAATCAGTGTGGATGTAGCCCAAACCTTGGGGTGAACCACGATACATCTTGTGTTATTTACATTACTTGCAGATTCACGGTTCGGATTTACGTTGTTCCAAGACCTTCGGTTTTGTGCATCAACATTTGGTGCCGTCTGTGGGAACAGACACGAAAAGTTATGTCGGTTCTCTTTCATTTTTTCACCTCCACCGTAAATCTGCAAAATCCACACAAAAACCCAAAAACAGAAAAACTCCAAATCCTTTTCTCATACAATACTTTGTACAATACAATTCGACATCATATTCCATAGTTCCTTGCACAGATCTATAGAAACCGAGTGAATTAAAACATCTAGTCCAATCTAACCAAACCTTGGTCTACACTTTTCTTCACTCATCTTTTCCTCCGTCTTTTCGTGCTTTTTTCGGGTAAAAATGTCGGCAGCTGTGGGTGCTATTTCTGCAACCAAAGGTGCAACTTTCAATTCTCAAATGGCAGAAGAGGAGCTCGTTAACAGTGACAAGAAAAACATGGCTGCAAGTGTTGAAAAACTGAGCCAGCTGGTACCCAAAGGTGACGATGGTCATAGTGATGAGGTTGATCTAGATGAAGAGGACGATGAGGTCGCCGCATTGGAAGCGGAAAAGGATCAGCCATCGCTCTCATCCAGCCCTTCATTATTTAGGATATTCAATTTAAAGAAAACATCGAGAGGGAGTGAAAGTGAAAAAGACCAAAAGTTCGAGAGTAGCTCTATCTTCCCCAATTATTCTGATTTTCTTCGGTCTCTATTAATGGAGCAAAGCGAAACGGTCTCTGAAGTTGCGCCTAAGAAATTGGCGAGGCAATTGGATTTCACGACATTGTGTCGAGCGTCGGCGAGTGCGGCGGTGACGGACGTATAGCTACAGCTACAGACACCATCAATGGCGCAGCAGCAGCCACAAATCTCACCGGGAAAACCACAGTTGAATTTGCATTTACAGTCATTGCAGTCTGCGGTAGTCCATTCCTCGAAGCAATTAACGCTGCCTCCGGCGATTCCGCAGTTTCAGAGATCGTGCTTGTGATTCAAGCTTATAGAACCCTTCGAGATCGTGGTCCGTACCCGGCTGATCAAGTGGTCAAAGATCTTGAAGGAAGCTTTGCTTTTGTTGTCTATGACAGCAAGGGTGACAATGTCTTTGCTGCACTGGGTTCTAATGGTGGAGAACAACTGTATTGGGGCATTGTAGCCAATGGCTTTGTGGTTATTTCTGAGGAATTGGAGGTCATAAAAGAGGGTTATGCTAAATCATTTGCCCCTTTCCCAAAAGCTTGTTTCCGCAACAATCCAAAGTACTGGAGATCAAGAAAAGCAAAAGATACCTGCAAAGCAACGTGGGTGGACAGAGAAGGAGCGGGGAGATCAGGAAAAGAGAAAGCAAAAGAGATCAGGAAAAGAGAAAGCAAAAGAGAAAGAAAAGAGAAAGCAAAAGAAAGAAAGCAAAAGAGAAAGCAAAAGAAGAAAGCAAAAGAGAAAGCAAAAGCAAGGGAATAAACACCCCACCAGAATAATGTGATTTACTTTCCTTATTTTTGAATGATGTAATTTATTTTTCTTATCTTTCGGAGACATCTGTATAAACCCCATCAGAAGGTTAAAAAAAAAAACCGACAAACCCAAAATAATAGGTTGCAATGTTGTGTGGAGTGCAAATGCCCATATGCTCAAAAAAGCCAGGCCCTCTATTATCACCAACCAGGTGATCAAAAGAACGCCCAGTACTCCAAAATTATTTGGCAACCTGCTACTATTACCACCAACCAGGTGATCAAAAGTACGCTCAGTACTCCAAAATTATTCGGCAACCTACCGCTATTACCACCAACCAGGTGATCAAAAGTACGCCCAGTTTTCCACAATTATTTGGTAACCTGCCGCTATTGCCACCAACCAGGTGATGAAATGTACTGTAGACATTGAAATTTCGGTAAAATAAATGTTAAT